GACTCTAAAATTAAAGTTCATAAAAAGCTAGGAGTAAATATTGAATATTTCTACCAAAGAAAGGAAGCAGACTCTGTAGCATTTGAGCATCGTTGTTAGAAACTTGACCCTGCTTTTATGTTCAGTGTTGAAAGGCCTTTCTGTAAAATCCCTTATTCAAAGCTTTTTCTTACTGAAAAAAAAATTTTTTTTTGTTTGGTTTTAACCATAGCATGGATCTTGGTTTTAATTTGACACTTACAGTGAAGGAGAAAAAAATTTACTTCCTGTTTTCACATTTAGGAAACTTCTGATCAACATTCTTGAACTTGATGCTAATTAAGCTTCCAGGAACTTTTGCTTTATGTTCTTAATCAGAAACATTTAAAACCTTTTTTAGCTTTTCCTTGGAGTTCTTGGTTTTAACTTGGACTGGCTTAAAGTAGAAATTTTGTTACCTTTCTGTATGTTTGGATTTTGCCTGTGTTGTTTTTAACTTTCAACTTGAATTTTAAGATCATCAATCAAAAGCTCTTCTTTCAACTCAGTGGTACTGCTCTCAGTTGCAGGACTTAGAGGGTCAGCATTTCCCTCATGCGATTAAAAAATTTTTTAAACATAGTATTTTATGAATTTGAGCTCCAAATTGATCTTTTTATCACGAACCTACAATTTGAAATAAACAAATAAATTAGATATAAGAAACACAGGAAATTTCTCCCACCATCTTCTCTCTTTTCTTGCTTTTACTCTTTTTACTTGGACAAAGGTAAATTACCAACTGCTCTATCACCTTTAGGCAAGCCACAAAGAGGGTAATTGTGGCTTTATATATTTTAAAATACATTCATTTATTCACACTATCTATTTAATTGCCCCCCCATTTCCCCTCTTTGAAGTATTGAGCATGTGTCTTACCCCAACGTTCTGTAACGCCAGTGAACACTATAATAAGCCTGTGCTTTTATCTTTCAGATGGCATTTATTTGTTGAGGGTCTGTGTGTGTGTGTGTGTGTGTGTGTGTGTGTGTGTGTGTGATTGTTAGTTGTCTTCATCTGCCAAATAAAACTATGTAATTTTTGTTCATAGGTTTCAATTAAGCAAGAAAAAAAAAGTATTTGACATTGAAAGGATGGCTGTTATAAGATTATCTTTACATCCCCCACCATACACCCCAATTCAGAGTGAATTGGTTGAGTCTTCTCATGATTAAGAACCCCTGCTAACTTCATCAAATTTAGTCTTAAAAGTTTTGCTTCCAGATAGGATTCTATAATGGATAATATTATAAATTTAAAACTTTACTAGATTTTTACGAGAATGGCTCAGTGCCATAATCTACTTTTTTGAGATTAAAGCAAATTCCTTTGATGGGCTTTTTGACTGATGGAAATTTGCATTAGGTAGAATGAACCCAGAGTACACTGAGGTGAACCTTGGGTTTGTTTCTGAGTTTCATGTGGCATATCAGTGTCAGGTGTGTTAATTTCATATTTTGGTTCCTACTCTGAGGCTTGAGATCTCCTTATGGACAGAGCTTTGTAGATATTTTCTGCTACACAATGCAGTCTGCTGTTTTAATATATGCATAACTGAAAGGTTTGTACAACTGCCTCCCCACAACACAGCATCCCTGCCCCCTCTGCTCCTGTTTCCTCCTACATGAAGTATCATATATTTTGTTAGGAAGAAAAGCCCTTTTGGAAATTGCCTATTTCATAAATTGTCTGGTGACACAAAGGGGTTGTATGCTGTATTCTTGTCTCATTTATTTTGAAAACTTTGCTACTGAACTCACCTTAATCAATGAGCTCAGTGTTGTCTCCAATAAGTTATGTGTTGGATATATTGATTGGGAGGGATTTTAGAAAAACCGTCTGGGGTTTATAATGTCAGCAGTGTTTTGATTATGAAAAGAGTTGGAACCTGGGGACATGGAACCAGGTGGCGAATGTCCTAAAGCCAGTGGTGACATGGTGGACTGGTTCCCTCCTGGGATCTAGTTCATGCCCTGCACTTTAACTGTGGTGACTGGCTACTATAGATTCTCTTTTTTGCTCATTAAAATGTTAAAAAATCAAACTGTACATAAAAAGATTTGTGAAAATATAAACTTGGGAATTGATCTGGAGAACTGGCACAAAATCCTCCCCACCCCCTTGCCTTAGCAATGAGGTCATTTACATTTCATCAGCTGTGCTGCATCTCTGAGATCCCATTTATGTGGCAGTAGTTGAAGTTGTACTGAGGCTGGTTGTCTGAAAGAGCTCATATGGGGGAGAGAACAGGAAAATTGCCATGTACAAAGAAGTTCCCTAGCCAGAGTCACAGGTTTAGAGGGAAAAAAAGGAGTTACTACTGTTCCAGGAAAAGTTAATATCAAGAGACTCTGGGACAGTGCCATAACCAGAGTGCTCAAATTAAATTTAAGGCAGGGTTTGGAAGCCCTCCCTTGGAGAGTGAATGGTCTTATATTTTCCTTCTGACAGAAATAAATACTTGAATATTTATATACAAAAAGATTTGGTTTATTTTATCAATTTTTCTCCTTCATCTTCCTGTCCTTTTCCCAAACTTAATTTGATTTTGATTGAGATCATATGCAAATATGCCTAGCACCGAGTAGATGCTCATTTTTGTTTTGCTGTGACAGCACACTACCATCTTGTTTGACTTAAGTTGGAATATCAAGCTCTTGCAATATCACAAACATGAAGAAACATATTGTAATGTACAAACATGTGCGTACGTTTGCCTATCTCCCCCCACCCCACCCCATTCCTTAATTAGACTTATCACTTCCTTCTTGGGTAAAAAGGAAAGCTTGTGGGAAGTTGAGTTACACTCAGCCTGTGTTGGATGTTTTGGTATTTGTTCTGACATTATCTGACAGACAAGTTCAAGGTTGGTTAATACTCTTCAAATTAGAAAGTGGTAAGTAGTCTCTATATTGTAGTGAGTAATAAGTTGGGCATATTAGATTCTTTTGACTCTGCTGCAGAGCACAATGCTTTCTTGTAGCCATGGGGGTCCTTTCTTGCAAAAATCTTTGAGGCCCTTTGCTAGCTTGACTCCAGCATAGAGTAGAAAAGTGCTTTATGCACCTGAAACTTTTGAGGGGTAAAAGATAACTGGCTTTGTAGCTGATATTGGCAATGAGTGAACACTTGGTACTGAGTTTTAAAGAATACTTGGTGCATATACTGAAGTTAATAGATTCTTTATGTTGTTATTTGAAACTTGAAAAGATTTTTTTTTTGTGGGGGAGACATGGAAGTCATAAGACTTTGATATATGTGGATTGTAGTATATTTTACAATTAATTAAAGCTGCAGATGTTAAGATGAATGTTTAATATGGTCTCTTTTCTAATATTTGTCTAATAATAATATTATGTCCTGATAAACTACTCTTGATTCTTTATTAGCCATTGTAATATATTTAAACAGTTCGCTTAAAAACAATATATATGTACGGACCTCTAAATGTCACATTATAAATTAACTAATTTATAAGTAATACCTCTGATAATATGTTGAGGTATTCTTACTTTTTTTCATTTTTTTCATTTCCTATTCATTACTCTTTTGTGACATGCCTTAACAGTGCTGTGATATACATAGTACTGGTCCAAGATGATATTAAAAAATAGGATATGCTCAATTGAATTATGTAGGCGGAACATGCTCTGGCAGAGCAAGTCAGTGTGCTTTCTGCTTCATTGAGTGGGTTATTAGATTGATGTGGTTTATTTCTTGAATGATAGAACTGGTTTTAAAAATAAATGAAGCGAGAAGCATCAATTCAGTTAGCATTGATAATTCATTATTATTGGTTAGAAAAGTGGTACATTTGTAAACGGATCTTTAATTTATCACTTGGATTAGGATTTTCAATGGGCAGATTTGTTTTAATTTGAACCAGCTTCGCAGTGACTGAAAAATGTGTTCTTCATTTTGTCTTAAAAGTTGAGATTTTAAATAGTTACAAAGCAAATCAAATACGTGAAAGGAATACCTTTAAAATTTATGACATTGGTCTGTGAACTTATGATAAGCACCAACTGTGGGCTTTGCAAGTCTGCAATTAAATTAAGTGAAGTAAAGAAAATTCTATGAAGGAAATAGTCATTATTTGTACATGTGATCGGTGCTATTGATATATGCTGTATATGTGGAATGTCTGTTAATCTCATATGCCAGTGTAAGAAGATTGTCTTTTATGAATGAGTCTTTGAGATATGACTACACTTTTTTGCCCCTCTCCTGAATAATTTACTCAGTTTTATGTACCTCTGTTTTTGTGAAAATGACATTTAAGGTGATAGTTTGCTTTGGATTTTCATAAATTATAAGTAGGTAAGTATATCATTATAATAATGATATTTAACTAAAAATAGTGCTCACTTACAATGGTTATAGTTTGATTCCAAAATCAATTTTATGCCAGTAATGGCAGCTTCTTTATATATGAGTAAATAAAGTTTAAAACTCTTAAGAAATGTAGTTGATGGTGTTCAGGCACAATTATCTTCAAGTTGGCTTTCTATTCTGCTGTGATTTAGCCTATTGATGTTAGGAAGCGTTGTCTAATCCCGGCCCCCTCTGTTCCTAGGTAACAGGCAAAAACAGTGCCAGCAACAGCGGCCCTGCCAGGCCAAACCCATGTGGCTCTGTGTTATTCACTCTGATCCATATGGTCAGGCTGGAGATGGTCCCTGGAGGGGTGTTAACACTCAGCAACCCAACCGCCTCCCTCCCTTCAGAGCTTTCTTGCATGGCTCCTGCTGCTTGCCCATGTGTGACTCTTGATTAATTTTTCATTTTTAATGAAGTTTGATCATGTTTATTATTTCACATGATTGACTGCCTGGTACTCCTCCCATGTAATTGATAAAGCCCATATTTCTTCATCTGTCTCCTCTTTCTTCAGGGTAAAGTTGCTAGATTGTGTGCTGTGCTTAATGTTAGATTTATTGGTCCCATTAGATGTATAAATTATCTCTCTTTCTCTCCACAGGAAGTTCTACAGACTTTGACCAAGTTTTGTTTCCCCTTCTATGTGGACAGGTAGTGTCAGATTTTCAAACTTTATTAGGAAAAAAATACTGTCAATAAACCTGGTATAGAAAATAAAAACCATACCATTCTTAACATTCTGTCTGTTTAACCATGATTTAAAACACCCATGTTCCAAGGAGAGTTGCAGTATTCTCCTTTCCTGGAGTTTTTATTGACACAATCAAAAAGTTTAAAGCTTAGAGCTTTGTATTGGTTAGTTTGTGATATGTATTTTGTAAGGGATTAAATTTTTGATTTTGGTTGTCAGACTTAAATTATGATTAAGAATGGTTGGTATTTAATCCACTGCTGTTTAATTTTTATTTAAATAGAAATATATTTGGCTTAAACAAACAGTATTACATGACTTATGATTATTGCATAGACTGTTTTTCCTAAACTTCAACTTACAATTTAAATCAGCATAGGCCTATCTTGTTTAAAGGCACTGAGTTATTTAAAAGGCATGTTGCTAAATAGTATTTTGCATTCTGTTTAGATGGCTAAGAATGATAGCATCTCTGGGGAAATCAACATTTTCTGTAGGTTTCTAGACTTAACAAATATACAACCATCTAAACATTTCCTTAGTATTTGTTGTGATAAACTGTTTCTTGGAGAGGTACAAATATAAGACTGTCAAGGTAATTAAAATAATTTGAAGGTTTTTTTGTTATTTTTTAAGATAATCCAGTGTTTTAGAAGAGCTTTTATTTTTATTTTATAAAGCTGTGATTTACTGATTATGTTAATGAAATGACACTGCAGCCACTCTCTAGTTTTCAAAAAATATGTACTGTCTTTTTCATTATAATTAAAGCTTTATTTATTGCAATAATTCATTTGTCCTCTTGATTGTTGCCTCTGTTTAATTTTCTTTTAATGGAAAATTGAACTATGAGACTGTACACACATTATCTTTTAATAATTCCTCTTTTGGTGACAGAAAGATTGTAGAAAATAACCTTGTCATTAAATTCCCTAATATGTTCCAAGGAAGCTATAAAATGTGTCACCTTCAGGAAGGTTCTATCAAGTTTTTAAATATACCCAAACAAATCAGGGTCTGAACGATTTTAGTGGTTTAGAGTATATTTGGGTAGTTTGAGCTATGGATCTTTTCTACACTTCATAGTATTAATGTCCTGATTTATTTGGCACAAACCTAACAATGGTGTGAGATGAGAACTGGTAGCCAAAGGAGTTTAAAGGAATACTAAAAAGCAACTTTGGAATGTTGCCAGTCATTTATAATCATTGCTCTCCTTGGTTCTAACATGTTATTTTTTTAAGCCAATCAACCATTGTATTTCCAGACACAGCTCTTTTTAACCATGGTACCTATAGGTTGATGCTCAAAACAGAATAGGTTTAATTTCAAGAGGGCCAGTCTTTGTAATGAGTGTTCTCTTTTCTTTATCCCATTTCTTCTAGAAATATCAAGAAGGTAGTGTTTTGTTTAGAGATATTTAATGCAAAATTCACATTTATATGTATGAATTAGTGATGCATGAAATCTCCTGCAGTAATTTATAAAAGTATTACAAATTATGGCCAGAGCATATTTATGTGTAGTAATAAATCAGAAGTGTTTTTTAAAATGTACTTAGATGTTTAACAAAGAAAGATAAGAATACATTTTTGCATGACTTGTTGTTAGAATGGTGATCTATTTTGAATAGGTGTTTCTTAATTGACTTAGTAAACTAATACTGTTAGAAGAAATGCATGATGTGATTAAATCTCTGCCCTGGCCCAACATGCACATGCTCATACCAAACACACTCTTCCTCTCATTTATACCAGACACCCCTGTACTTATTTATCTGTCTGAATGATTGCACTGTGAAATGGAACAACAACAACAAAAAAGAGAGTTCTTTCAGTGATAATTCTGAAATATATTTAGTTACCAATAATGTTGGGTGCCTTTTCATTGTTTCAGAAAAATTTTCTTCTTCTAAAACAGATTTCTCCAGTTACTCTCCCCTAATCTCATTCTTTATATTACTTTCAAAAAATAACTTACTAATAGAAGTGACCGTTCATGGATGGAGATATCTATCTATCTGTCTATCTGTCTACCTCCAATTTTTTTTTTTTTTTTTTTTTTTTTTTTTGGTACTGGTTATCAAACTCGGGTCCTTGTGCTTGCGAGGAAGGCTGCAGAACCACTGAGCCAAATCTCTGGCCTTCATGGATGTATTTTAACCCCTGCCATATACAATAGTTCTTCCATACGTTGAATTATATTACATACTGGTACTATGGGTGTTTTTCTATTAATATAAAAAATCCACTTGATTTTGGGGACTCTTTTTTTTCTGTTTGCCCTCCTCTAACTGTAGCATACTTCAAGGCAGAAGGGATAATTAAAATAAAGTTCATTTACAAATATAAAAAAGTCTTTATGTCATAATGTTTCAATTAATTTGGAGTTAGCACTGTCAAACGTTCAGATTTTGAGGCCCACAAAGTTCCCCAGGTGTGTTTGATATTGTTTAACTTAGAAAATACAGCAGCGTGAGATGAGCAGTGTTCCAGGTGATCGCATCCAAAACAGAAGACTTCCTAATCCTTTCAGTATTTCTGCTTTTCTACTCTGAGGAACAGTGATATAACTTTCTGATATTTCTAGTCTGTATCAAGAGTTAGATTTTCACAGTCATCATAAAATCACCTGTTAACACTGACATCTTGCTATCTGTTGTGTTTTAAGATTTTTCTTTCAGAAAGTAGGATGCATGAAAAATAATAATGCTGGTAGCTCTTCAGAAGAAAGTGCTTTCTCATGTATTATCTCACTTTATCATCCTACCATAAGACATAAGAACAAATACTATTATTTTCATTTGAAATAATGAAGACTTCAGTGAAGTTGTGACTTACCCAAGGTCCTTTTTGGTGTAGCTCATCCTAGATTTTCATCTCCCAAATGAATACATTTTTCAGGAGATCACCTTGTAGGGAAGAGTAGTTACTAGTCATAGAGGAAGGAAATTAGCATCTGAGTTCTTAATTGATTCTAGTCTGAATGCTGGGCATTATTTCATTATCTTCTCTTTATTCTTCCCTGCAGCTCTATGAGATAATAGTGATATTTTCCCCTCAGAAGAGCAGAGGATGGTTCAGGATATGCCGCACAGGGCATTGTTGTTGTCACACTTCGAGCCCTTCCTTCCATGTGTTTTTCAGTTTAGACCAAGAAGTGTTATAAAGACTTCTTAAACAATTGAAAGGATGGGAAGGTTAGAAAGAGATGGTCAGAGAAAACTTGTTATGGCGGGTCAGACTTGCGTTGAGTCTGCCAGGCTAGCAAGAAGTGGATAGTGGAAAGGGGAACCTAACTCCCCATATGCACTGCACAGCAAAGCAGAGGAGAAACCATGAGTGAGCCTGGAGATGTTCAGCCAGAGCAGATGGAGCGTGCTGGAAAGAGGGTGATATGTGCTTTAAGAGCTTGGGCTCTGGCCACAGGAGGCCTTGAGAGTCTGTGGGAGCAGGAGTGGAAGATTTTAAAGCAGAGATTCATCTGGTTCAAACATCTCATTCTGCAGAAGGGAAGCCAAGATCAGCAGAGGGAAGTGGCTCGCTTTTCATCACAACTATGTAGTTAAAGAGCTGGGAAAGAAACAGGTGCTTATTCCCAGTCCAGAGTTACTTCTACCCTTCAGTGTCCTTGAAGCTCCTATGGGAGAGCAGTGAAGAATCACTGTTGAGTTCCCTGTGTCACTGTCAGAAACTTTTCACTATTGTTGATGAAAGCATTTTCTTAAAATAAATAAAAAGCTTGTCCTGATTCATATGGCAGTTACTACTTGCTTGCACTTGATAGCTGACATCCAGCTTCAGTTAATCAAAACATTAGAGATGAATTGGACAATGGAACAACTATTCCTTTCTATGTTTGTGCTTATCCTCTTTCAGAACCCAGAACATTACTCAGCTACCCTGTGTATACTTGTACCCACATATGACAGGAGCATGAAGTGAAATGACATCTTCTTTGCAAGGGTAGAGGCATCATTTAATGATTTAGAATGTAACCGCGGATGCAGATATGGTTCAAATGCTATTTTTTAGCTTCCTATGTATCTGTTACATGTGAGCTATTGTACTGTGTTCTTTTCTTGCCCTGAAAAGTCACACATTTGCAAGGTTACCATTATCAAATTGCCATATAGAAGAGCAGAGGTTCAGATAGGTCAGTAACGAGCACAAGGTCTCTCTCCTATCAACTAGCAGAATGTTTTCAGAACTCCCATTTGCCTGGCCTCCAACTCTGCCATACTTAAACCATACTGCCTCTATTAGATCTATCACAGCATAGAGTAAGTAATCAAACAGCTTTTATTTTTAAAGCAGTATACATTCATTGAGAAAGTGGAAAATTCAGTTAACTGGAGAAAATGAACTGCACACAGACAAAACATGATTAGCACATCAGCATATATTTTCCTGGACTTCTCTTTTTGTTTCTGCCTCCAAATATTAAGCCTGCTCTACTTTTAAAACTGGAGTCCATTTGGCCCATTTTAGTCCCTTGGTTTAGTTTGCACTATGAGTTTGACTGTGCCCTAGATTATTTTGAAAACCTTAAAAACATGGTTAGATATTAGTGAACTGTTAGTTTGGATGCTACCTCTGATTTGCTCTGTGCTATGAAATAAGTGGCTTCTGCCCTGACAGCCTTCATTTCTTCATCAATAAAATGAGGGAAGTAGATACTGTCTCTACTGTTCTTCTAGTTTGTTTTTTTTTTAATTCTTTTAAATTTTACAGTTATTTGCATTTACCTTGTTAGGCTCACCTAGTCAAGGGACTGGACAGATATTTGTTTTTAGAACTTCATGGTGGGATCCTCAAGCAGATAAGTGTTGCTTTTATCTGGCACTGAGACCAGCTACTGGTCCCTAGGCAGATTGGGTGGGTGTAATTCTTACTGTCTAGATCTTTGACGAGGGAAGGTAAGAAACTTGAGGCTTAGGTAACTGAAAGGTGTGTTTATG